AGATTGCAATGTCAGATCGAGCTGGAACCAATGGGAAGAAAAAAGTTTTGCCAACACAAGAAGAGAAACACACATCATCCAGTTACATTAAATCTGAACCAAAAATAATTTAAAGCACCAATACTAATTCTTCAGTTTATAAGGGGGGGGGGGGGACTATCGCTATCCCATGCTGCGGTGACAGTTAGCTGGCTGGCTGCGGCGCTACTCCGTGCTGGGCGGCGGGAGAGGTTGACCCGGGCGCGCAGCACGCACACCGGCAATACCCCGCGCTGATCGAGCGCGGTACGCGGTACTGGCGTGGTCACATCGCCATCGGCACACACATCGGCATCGCCTACCCAGCATCTTGACTTGACAAACCGCAAGCCCGCTATTTGCCCAAAGTTTTCACCTCCTGCTCATTGTGGGGGCACCTTGAAAATGATGAAACACTCACACTAACCGTAGCGCACTCTGTGGTAAACCCGTGGAGCTTATCTTCCCTCTCTCTCGCACATTCTTTTGACGAGTTGCCCCACCAGAGACCATCAAATATCTGAGAAACAACATTTAAATGGTTTTGGGTCATTTTCGTGTGAAAATCGCCCTCAGCATTTCGGCAACACGACGAACCAAAATCCGCTACCATCGGAGTAGGGTTTTTCGCGCCTTGCAGTTGGCTACTTCTATAGCATGAGCGGTTTGATTAAGTTTCTTTTCCCCGTTTGATGCAGTCAAAAGTGTAGATCCTTCCACCCGGGGAGAGAGATAGATGCGCTGTTGGAGAGGAGGCGGGCTGGACGTCCACCTACCCCGTCCGAAAACGACAGGTGTGAGTGAGATGCTCTAACTGCACTGTTTGAAATTACAAAGAAATTTTGAACGGAATTGTCAAGAAATTTTTGTCACGGCATGTACCGTAATTTTATCGTATTTTCTACGAAAACCATACGGAAAAAGCGTATTCTTAAGTTACGGATTAACCGTAAGCTTTTCCGTAAAATTTTGACTTATTGATTAGGAAAAATAATAAATTGCACTGAAAGTCGAAGAATTGGATTTTGAGAGATACGAGA